CTATGCACCTAGAAATATACATTTTTTTCCTAATTTTGCAATTTATCACACCGAATATAATAAATAATAGATTTGGTGTAAAATTATCAATTCAACAATTGTTTAAACAATTTATTGTCGTAATTTACTAACTTTTTTTATTGCACATAAAAAGATGTAGTATTTTTCAAATATTCGGATTGATAAATTGCACAATTAGAAAAAAATTAATCTTTCAAGATGCAATAGATAAAAAATTAGTAAATAATAAAAATAAATTGTTTAAACAATTGTTGAATTAATAATTTTACACAAAAAATATGTTTTATTATATTCGGTTTTATAAATTGTAAAATTATAAAAAAAATTACATATTTCTATGTGCAATACAAAAAAATTTAGAAATAACAACAATAAATTGTTAAAACAAATTACAAATATATTAAAATTATATTATGTCCATTACATATTTCGTATAAACATTATTTTCACATAATTAATTTCTAGAAAATTATGATTGATGGAGCCTTTGCTAAAGTGACACCAAAGAAAGAATGGAATTCTGGTACAACTGACTTTGAACTGACTATTCAAAAAACAACAAATATTCAATGCATTCCAATGTCAGATAAGGGAATAAATTTAAACAGAACAGTTAATACTGTTAAAATGGAAGACGTTGCTAATACATCGGGATACATGAGTAAGTATCATGAAATTTTTTTTTAATATTTCATAATTAAATTATAAATAAATTAATTTCATATTTCAAAAAAATTAATTACACTACTATAATAATATTTTATTTGCTCATATATTACGTTAAAATTTTATAATTTTGTTCATATTTTTATAATTATAATTTTAAATTCATTATTTGCTTTTTAGAGGTAGAAGGTTACATTAGATCTCCTGTACAAAAAATTGATCAATTCAGAAATGACGTCCCAGAATATGGATTGGGATCAATTACTGACGGGACATACAATTTGGAAATAAGAATCCAAAGTGTAAATAACCTTCCAACTTTCAAACGAGGAACTCCAGTTGAAATAACAGGATACGTCAAGACAAGATTAGGTTAATATTCAATATCTTACATTATTATTAATTGTTATATAACAATTGTAATTAATTAATTGCACTTCTTCTTTGCAGTAAACAAAATTTACCTATCGGTTACATCTTCGGAATGTATTAAAAAAATTAATCTTGAAGCAATGGAAACAAAAAAAATTTTGTCTGGAAATAAAAATATTGAAAAGAGAAAATATCAGGAGGAAAATGCGACTTCAAATAAATACCAAAAAATAAATTAGTTTCATCGTTTATGTTTTTGATATGAAAATTATTTTAAGTTACGTTTTAAAAAATATATTTGACTATTCTTCATTCTTTTTAATTTTATTAATCATAAGCGGTACTTCCTTATATTCAATTTATTAATTATAACAAATAAGAGCAATTTATTTTTTTGTTCATTGTATCATTCTTTTATACTATTGAAAATTGTTTTATTGTAATACCTATGTGAATATATAATATTTTTCTGAATTATTTAGTTATTAATAACAATTTCCATAATACTTTCCTTTCATAGTATAAATATTTATTTTGGATAATATTTAAAATAAAAAAGTTTAACATTTTTGAAAATAAAGCCTTTCATATCCTCAACAATAAAAGAGTTAATTTATATTATAAATTTCAATGTAAAAATACATATTTTTATTTCTAAATATGAAAAATTTTATGCATAAATTATTTTATTTAATTCTTTCTTTCACTTTCTATATACTTACATTCTTTTTCTTTAATATTTCTTTTAGATTGTTAATTAATACTTACAATTTCCACAAAATATATTAATAACACTTTTACTTCATAAAATTCGGTCAAATAAATTATCGATCATGGAGATTGAACTTTTGACTACATTTAAATCACAACACATTTTTACATTTACAATACGAATATTCTTTAATTATTTCTAACCAAGTACGAAGCACAAACTTAAAAGGTTTAAAATGGACATTAAGCAGTATAAACACAATTTATATCAAATATTATTAATTTGTCTACAAAGTATTTTGCTGATATTAACAAAAATTTAAATTAATTATGCAACAACTTTATATATTTTTAGAAAAATTTATTAACTCGCTTTCTTTTTGACTAAGTACTAAACACCAACGAAAAAGGCGCGCGCTTTGCGCGCGCAGTCTTTGTCTAGTATATATATATATATATATATATATATATATAAAATAAAGTAACATAATGCAGTTTCCTCAAGAAAATTGAAACATATTTTATTTCGAAAAAGTTAAATAATTACAAAAACTTAGTGACAATGCAATGTTTCAAAGATAATAAAAATAACAAAAAGAATAAAAATAAACAAAAAATAATAATAATACAAAATAATAATAATAAAAAATAAAAAAAATTCTAAAAATAATTTTAAAAAAAGAATTATTATAATAATATAAATAATAAAAATAAAAAACATAAAAAATTATAATAATAATAATAATTCTAAAATTTTAACTAAACAAAATTTTATTTGTCAGAATTTGAATTTATTTATTTATTTAATTAGGTATAACAAATTATTATTTATTATTATTTATTTATAAAAAATAAATTTAAATCTATTTATAAATAATAATATTATTATTATTTAATAAATAATAATAATAATAATAATAATAATAAATATAAATAATAATAATATTATATAATAAATAAATTATAAATAATAATATACAAAAAAATACGAAAAAATAATTTATAATAAAATTTGAATTTTAAAAAATTTTTAAAAAATAAATTTTTTTTTGGTTGATTTGAACGTTCAGAACTTTCAAAACATAATTTTTGAAGGGGAAATTTTTTTATTATTATTATTATTATTATTATTATTAATATAAAATGCATCAAGTTTTTTTTTTATTTTTTTTTGAAAAATAATTAGAAAAAAAAACAGTCTTATGAATATGTCTCGAAGCGATTTTGATATATTTCTCGTTGAGAACGCGCGTGGTGATAATTATGAAAATGACAAAAGAAGTGTGAGATTGGAGGGATTTGTCTATTAAACTCCAAAGACATATTTCACCCCGAGGATATCGATCAAGGTTTTCACGTGGGCAAGAAAATATCATGGAGAAAGCTCAAAGGATTACTAAACTTAAATAAAAAAAAAATAAAAATAAAAAAAAAAATAAAATAAATAAAATAAATAAAAAAAAATTTTTTTTTTTTTAATCATCTGTTACAACCTACCCCGCGTTGGGGCAAGTTGTGACAATTAAAATTAAGTCAATAAAAAATATAAAATAATTTTTTTAATTATAATTTCATTATTTATAATAATAACAATAACAATAACAATAACAATAACAATAATAATAGGTAATAATAATAATAATAATAATAATAATAATAATAATAATAATAATAATAATAATAATAATAAACAATAATAATGAAATAAAAGGGCTTGTCCCGTTTATTTTAATAAATAAATAAACAATAAATAATAATGAATAATAAAAAAATTAATTATATATAATTATTGTATTTATAATAATTAATATTATTATTATTTCTTCTGTTATAAGTTCGTAGTAATTTAAAATAAATAACTAAATAAATAAATAAATAATAATAATAATATAATAATAAAATAATAATATAATAATATAAATACAATAATTTCTATTATACAATATAAAGTAAATTGAAAAATATAAAAAATATAACCTAATAATAATAAAAAAATAATGAAGATAAATTTTTGAAATTTCACTCCATCTGGTGGTAAAAGTTTGCATTTGTCTTAAAAAAAAAAATAAATATACAAACTCTCCCTTTGAGAATTTTCAAACATATCGACTGTCGGTATTTGAAAATTTTTTCGACAAATTTTTATATAGATTAAAAAAAAAAATTGTTACTTAAAAAATTATTATTTTGTTTTTGTTTTCTTTTTTTCTTTTTTTTTTTTTTTTTAGAAAAAAAAAAAACTTTTTATTTTAGTAAATATATTTTTTTTCTTTTTTTTTTTTTATTGACTTTCTATTTTAAACAAAGAGAAAGCTAAGCTAAAGAAAAAGACGACATTATCCTCGGATTGAACTTAAGGGTTTGGATATGGATGGCAGCACTAAACTATTATCGATTTCTGCCCGCCTCACGAGTGATAAGTAGTTCGTCAATTTCACGAGAGGGCTGTGTGTAAAAAAGTGGCACTGATAATCGTTGAGAGGGAAAAAAAAAGAAAAAAAAAATAAACCTTTGAGACAAACCCTTAATCGATAACAAAAAAAACTAATTTTCTACTCAACAATTACGAAAAATAACAAATAATTGCAGATAATAATAATAATAATAATAATAATAATAATAATAATAATAATAATAATTAACAAATAAATAAATAATAATAAATTAAACTAAATAAATTTAAAAATAATAAATTAATTAAAAATAAAAAAATTGTTTTTAACAAAAAAAATAACAGTAATTATTATTAATTAATTAAATTTTTTTTAATCTCCATATTTCATAATAATTAATACATAAAAATAAAAATTCATTTTTCATTGAATATTATTAAAATAAAAAAATTATATTAAAAATTTACTTGAAATTCAATTTTTAATTGAAATAAATTGATAATTGAAATTATTGTAAGATAAGAATTAAAAAAAAAAAAAAAAAAAGTGAAATTATTATTAAATCAGAAATTAATAAAGCGAAATTACAAAATGAAATATAAATAAAATATTACTTTTATATTACATTATAAATATAATAAGTGTAATAATAATAAATAAATAATATATTTTTTTTTATATATAATTTTTTATAATAAATATAAATTTTTTAATTACACACTATTATTATAATTATTAGTATTTTTATTAATAATTATTATAAATTGTTATTAATTAATAATTATGAAATTTGATAAATTGAAAATAGATTTTAATCAAATTAAAAATTCCCGTAAATTTTGCAAAATAAATTTATCAAGCATTTCATAGAGAGTAAAAATAAAAAAATATTTCAGAGAATTGCAAAACAAATTATTAATTTTTTTTTTTTTTTTTTTTTCAGAAAATTACAAAAATAATAATCTCACCCTCATATTTTCGCGGCTTTAATTTTATTTGACGATTGATTTCAAACTTGCATTACATACCTGAAACAGAAAAAAACAAAACAAAATGGTTAAAAAATTAAAATAGATAATAAATATTATATTTTTAAAAAAATTTGTTATATATAAAAATATATTATATAAAGAAAATTATTTTCTAAAAATTAAATTATTAAAATTTTTAATTTTCTAAAAATTATTAACAATTTTATTCTCTAAAAATTATTAAAAAATTTTATTCTCTAAAAATTATTAACAATTTTATTCTCTGAAAAATTATTAAAATTTTTATTTTCTAAAAATTATATTAAAAATTCTATTCTCTAAAAATTATGAAAAATTTTATTTTTCAAAAATTATTAAAAAATTTTTATTTTCTAAAAATTATTAACAATTTTTTTTTCTAAAATTATTTATTTATTTATTTATTTAGATTGAAAATAAAATTATTAAAAAAAATTTCTAAAATTAAAACTAATTATTTTTTTACAATGAAATTATTATTTTAATTTTTTATTTTCTATAAATTATTTAAAATTTCGTTTTTCTTTAATTAATAAAAAAAAAAATAATAATAATTAAAAGGGCCCATACAAATTATTATAAATAAATAAATTATTGTTATCATTATTACTATATTTTTTTTTTAAATTAATATTTTATTATCAGTAATCTAAACATTAATCTAAAATTTTTATATAAACAATTTCGAAATTTTAAACAATGAATTTTTTTTCCCACAGTATTTTTTTTTTTTTTATTTGTCTCAATTATATCATCTTTAGTGTCGAGGATTTTCTCAAGTGTATATATATAGGATATATAAAATATAGAATAGAATATTAAAAGATTCTTGAATACAAGGAGGAAATTTGAATAGGACCAGGGTCCCACGTCCAATTAATCGTTATAACATTATTTCCCTCGTGTAAATATCGATTCATTTTTTCATAATTAAATATTATGTTTTTTTAAGTTAATAAAAAAAATTATTTGTATTATAATAAATAAATAAAAATAAATAATTAAAATTAATTATTATTGATAATAAAAAATTTATTATTATTATTATTTATAATAATTTGTATTATCGTATTATTTATTTATTTTTTTTTTTTGTTTATATTTTATATTTTTATTTATTATTTATTTTCATTAATTATTTTAAATTTTTTAAATTTTTTTAAAATTTTTTCTAATTTTTAATATTGAAAATAAATGATTATTTATAAGGAATGAAAATAATAATAGTAATATAATTTAATATAATTGTAAAAGAATATAATAAAAATATGAAGTAATGTAAGTCAACACGGCAGCGTGGTTAGAGCACACGGCTCGCATCCCAAGGGTCCTGGGTTCAATCCCCCATGCGAGTGAGATTTTTCCAAAATTATGTATGATAATAATATTACCCATTAATAATAAAAATATAATTATATAATAATAATAGAATATGTAACGATAATAATAACAATAATAAAAAATAATAAATGGCATTATAAAAATTATAAAACCTAATTTAAAAAAATTATAATTATAAAAATAATAACAATAATAATAAATGGCATTAAAAAAATTATAAAACCTAATTAAAAAAAAAAAAAAATGAAAATAGAATGTAGAATTAAATATTACAGAGAAAATTTGATATAAAAATAGATTAAGAATTTCGAAAAATAGAAAAAAAAGAACGAAGACAAAAAAACCTAATTAGAAAATGAGTGTGCAATTAGTGAGGAGTTTTATAACTGCGAGCCAAGTGCATTATTGTCACTTGCCTTATATGAAACTAGTTGATGCAATTCTCGAAAAAAAAAAAAAATTCTCGCAGATGGAATTATACATAGAGTATTTGCTGTTTTTCACAAAAAAAAAAAAAAAAAAAAAAAAAAAAAAAATGAAAAGAAAATGCTCATATATATCTTACACGAGTTGGAGAGGAAAATCTGTTCATAAAGTAGGCAATTAGAGTTTTATGTCAATTTACTTTCCTTACGTTAAATATGCAACTCGAGGTTTACTATATATATATATATATATATATATATGAGATGCAACTATATATATATATATATATGTTATAATTGCAGCTTTTACCATATTCCCTAATGATACCTATATATTTTTTTTTCTCTTTTTTTTTAATTTTTAACTATATATATATATATATATATCTAGTTTTCCAGAGTTGCCACGGTTTTTGCTACACAAAAATATTTTCCAAGTTTTTTCGTGGACAAAAAAAAAAGGATTTTTCCGGGTAAATTTGAAAAATCTTTTTTAAAAATTAAAAAATTATTATTTTTCATAAATTAAAAAAAAAATATTAATTTTTTAAAACCTGGAATATTTATAACAATAATTTAATTTTAAAAATTCAAAAAAAAAACAATTTTTTAACACAGAAATATTCAAAAATTGATATTAAAAAAAAAAAAAACACGAATATTTATAATTATTTTTTTAAATTCAATAAACAATTTTTTTTTAACACAGAGAAATACTCGAAAATTGTTATTTTTCAAAAACTCGAAATATTTACTACAATAATAAATAAATTAAAAAAAAAAAAAAAACAATTTTTTAACCTAGAAATATATATTCAAAAATTGTTATTTTCCAAAAAGAAACTAGAAAAAAAATTTATTAACAATAATTAAATTTAAAAATTTAAAAACCAATTTTTTAATACAAAACTATTTTTAAAAAAAGAAAATAATTTTGAAAAATATTTTTTATTTTGAAAATAATATAAATAATATAATATAAATTATATAATAAATTATATAATATAAATTTTTGAAAATAATAATTTTTTAATAAAAAATATTTTTCAAAAATAATTTTATTTTTTTAAAAATATTATTGTATTAAAAAATTGGTGTTTGAATTTTAAAATTTAATTATTGTTAATAAATTTTTTTTCTAGTTTTTTTTTTTTTTTTTTTGGAAAATAACAATTTTTGGAATATTTCTGAATTAAAAAATCGTTTTTTGAATTTAAAAATTTAATTATTTGTTGTGAATATTCGAGTTTTTTTTTAAATAACAATTTTCTAATTATTTTTGGATTAAAAAATTGTTTTTTGAATATAAAATTTAGTTATTTTTTTTCTGTTTTTTTTTTCTGGTTTCCAAGTAGCGTGGCAACTCTGAAATTTCTATTACAAAAAAAAGGGAAAAAAGGAAATTTTTTTTTAATTTATATTTTTAAAATTTTTTATTAAAAAAAATACTTTTCACTATTTTTAATTTAAAAAAAATTGTTACTATTTTAATTAATTAATTAATTTAATAATAAATAAATGAAATAAAAATGAAATAAAATAAAAATAAAATAAAAATAAAATAAAAATAAAATAAAATAAAATAAAATAAAATAAAAATAAAATAAAATAAAAATAAAAATAAAAAAAATCAAAATAAAATAAACAAAAAAAATTAATAAAATAAAAAAATAAAATAAATAATTAATGTTATTAATAATTTTGAGCAAAAAAAAAAAAAATTGTCCAACTTGTTCATTGGAATCTACTTTATCAACAATTTAATAGTGACGTGAGAGATTAGAAATGTGCGCTGGATTCAATTAAGAGAGATTGTACAAAGCAAATAATAATGGGTTTCGAGAAAGTCTTTTTTTTACGATGAAATTGATAGTTCACTCAAGAGTAAAAATGATCCATTCATCAAATTTTTTTTTCTTCTTTTTTACTACTTTTTCAATATAAAAAGATTTTAAAATAATTATCTTAAAATTATAGTTACGTATAAATCAATAAATAATTTTAACGTATTTATAATTTATTAAAATGAATTTGTTTTACAGGAATTTTAACTCTTCAAGTAAAAAAAAAAAATTTTTTTTAAATTATTAAAAATCCATGCAAAAATTTTAATTAAATATTTTTGGTTAACCCAACAAAATTTTTGATTACTTCAGTAAAAAAAAAAAAAAATTCTAAACTTTCGAATAAATGAAAAAAAATTTTTTTTTTTGTTCATTTTAAATTAATAATTTTATATTTTTTATTTTTTATTACTGTAGTAATTTTTTTTTATTTTTATTTTTTTTTTTAATCAAAAAAGTAGTTGGATTAATAAAAAAAAAAATGGTTGCACAAATATATCAATTAAATTTTTAAAAAAATTTTAATTAAAAATTTTGAATTTAAAATTTAAAAAATTTTAAAATTTTGAATTAAAAATTTTTTAAATTTATAAATTTTGAATTTAAAAATTTTTTTAAAAAAAAAAAAAAAACCAAAATTAATTTAGTTTTTTCTATTTTTTTTTTTTTTTTGGAAATTCATTTTAAAAAAAGTGTGTCCCATTTTTTTTAACCAAGAAAAACTACGAAAATTTTTTAAGTGCAGAAAAAGAGTGTAAGAAAGAGAGAGAGAGAGAGAGAGAGAGAGATAAATTTTTATATAATTTTGTTTTAGAAATATTATTATTAATAATTTTCTATTTTTTATTTATTTATTTTATTTTATTATTTTTTTTTTTTGATTTTTTTTTTTGGTATGACCAACCTTGAAATATCTGGTTCAGGGTGGTACCTTTGAAACAAGTGCAGCCCATAATAAATCCCATCATCGGAGCGTCGTCGACACTTTTCTCTGCTTTCTAGATTGTGAGATTAAAAAAGCACACTCTCAACAATAAAATGAAAAATTTTCGTATTTTTTTTAACTTTTCTTTTTTTTTTTCGCCTGCAAATCGTCTTTTTCGATACCGGAAGTAGCGGTCCCGTGGTACATAGCGCACTGTCACGACACGTCCTCAAAGGAAAAGGAGAAATCTCATTCAATTTATAAAAGCTAACGGCTAACGGTTTGGAAACTATATACGTATTACTAACTACATATATAAAAAAAAAATTATAAATTATTCAATTAGATAATAATAATTTTTACTATTATTATTATTATATAATAACAATAATAATTTTTTTTATTATTATAATTAAATTCATAATAATAATAATAGTTTTTATTATTATTTTATTTGAGTAAATTTGTATTTATTAATAATTGTTACTTATTCAATTATTAAAATATTTGTTATTAATTTAGTAAAAAAAAAAAATTAATTTTTGAAAAAAAAATGATTTCTGAATATTTTCTGCAGTGTAAATTTTTTTTTTTTTTTTGAATCTTAAATCTTTTTAATATTTTAATATTGTAGAAAAATCGAAAAAATTCAATTATTATTTAACAAAGAGTAAAACATAACCTCAAAAAGTAAAATTATTAAATTTAAATGCGGTTTTTAAGTAAATTTAAAAACTGTTTGATTTAAAATAGTCGTTAAAAAAAATGGGCCCTTATTAGGTTATTTTAATTAGCCTATAAAATATGTCAATTTAAAATTATTTTAGAAAACAATTATTCCTAACCTAAAAGAAGATTTAGTAATTTAAATGAAATTCCTATAATAATAATAAATGTTTTATTTACAATTCCTTTAATAATAATAATAATAATAATAATAATAATAAATATTTCTGGAAAACAAGCATTCCTAACCTAAAAAAAATTCAGTAATTGTAATGAAATTCCTATAATAATAATAATAATAATAATAATAATAATAAATATTTCTGGAAAACAAGCATTCCTAACCTAAAAAAAATTCAGTAATTGTAATGAAATTCCTATAAAGATAATAATAATAATAATAATAATAAATATTTCTGGAAAACAATCATTCCTAACCTAAAAGAAGATTCAGTAATTTAAATGAAATTCCTATAATAATAATAAATATTTTCAGAAAACAATCATTCCTAACCTAATAAAAATTCAGTAATTGTAATAAAATTCCTATAAAGATAATAATAATAATAATAATAAATATTTCTGGAAAACAATCATTCCTAACCTAAAAGAAGATTCAGTAATTTAAATGAAATTCCTATAATAATAATAATAAATATTTTCAGAAAATAATCATTCCTAACCTAAAAAAAATTCAATCATTGTAATGAAATTCCTATAATAATAATAATAATAATAATAATAAAAATTTTTCAGTAATTTTTTAAAAATTATTTACAGAATATATTCCACTATTCCTACAATTTTAGTTTTGTTGAAAATAAAAATAAAAATTATTCTCTTTTAACATAAAAAAAATCCGATATGTTCTAGTGGCAAGAATACCCATTTTTATAAAATTAATTCACAAAAGAAGAAAGAAAAAAATTACTCTTTTGTAATAATAGAAAAAAAAAATATAATCCGATATGTTCTAGTGGCAAGAATAATAATCATTGTCAGCTGATTTCTAAGCAATCAGGTCTGGGAAGCAAGAACCCATAAGCAGGGTTGGGTAGGTTGAAAATTTTGTCCAACAATAAGGCCGCTTTTACAATAAGCTAAATCGCATTGACGATATTTTTTTTTTTTTTTTTTTTTTTTTAGTATGAGACGATCTCATTGCCAACTGTCGATGAAAATATTTATTTCACGTGTTCCACTATTAGTAAAATTTCAATTTTGTTAATATTATTAAAAATTATAAAACAATTTCACCTGGGAGGATAGAAATTGTTTTTTTTTTTTTTTTTGAACAAAACAAATTTTTTTTTTACAATTTTAATAATATTGACAAGCTAAAATTGTATAGAAATAGTGAAATAGGAGAAATAATTTTTTTTTTTTTTTTTGGTCAAAAGTTGGCAATGGATGCGCGCGTATATTTAAAAAAAAAATCGTCCCCACTTGCCATTTGACATAATTCTTGTCAACTATACCGCACCTCTAGTGAAAATTTAGTAACTTGATTGTTAAAAGTAAAAGTTACTAAAAAGTTAATAAATTTTCACTAGAGCAGCAACTATCGCACCCTGCACTAGTGAAAATTTAGTAACTTTATAGTAATTTTTAATTTTAACAATAAAGTTACTAAATTTTCACTAGTGCAGGGTGCAGTAGTTGGCAAGAATTAAGAGGTGGTTTCACAACAACTTGCTTTTGTATTTGACTTGCATTTTAAAATCAAAAAGGTGCGCGCACAACAGTTTCCAGTTATCGAAAAATAAATAAATTACTAATTTATTAAAAACTAGTTAATTAATTACTAATTAATTTGTTTTTTATTAAGTAAATTTAATTAATTACTAATTAATTCGTTTTTTATTAAGTAAATTTAATTAATTACTAATTAATACGTTTTTATTAGGTAAATTTAAATTAATTACTAATAAATACGTTTTTATTAAGTAAATTTAATTAATTAGTAATTAACAAGTCTTCAATTAATTATTACACAAAGCAAGTCAAATGCAAAACAAAACCTTCAGCAAGTTGTTGTGAAACCACCTTTATGACAAAACGGCGAGTGGAGACAATGGAAACTTTTTTGATGTGATTTAACTATTTTGAAAGCAGCCTTATTGTTGGAGAAAATTTCCAACCTACCCAACTCTGCTTATGGACTCTTGCTTTCCATTCCCTGTTTTACCGACAGCCGATAATGTAGATTTCCATGTTGGTAATTTTTATATCATCATTTCTTTATTACCAACATAGAAATCTACACTACCGGCTGATGGTAAAGCAGAAAAATAGATTTTATAAACAATTACCGACATAGAAATCTACATTACCGGCTGATGGTAAAGCAGAAAAATTGATAATATAAACAATTACCGACATAGAAATCTACATTACCGGCTGATAGTAAAACAGAAAAATTGATAATATAAACAATTACCGACATAGAAATCTACATTACTGACTGCTTGGTATAACAGGAAAAATGACAATAGAAAAAATTACCGACATAGAAATCTACATTACCGTAAATAATAATTTGTAAATTTTTGTTTTTAATTTCATTAGTTTTACAGGGATTAATTTATTTAAAGTTGAAAAAAATTGCGAAAATTCGTAACGGTGTAATATGAAAAAGAAAAAGTTTTTCGTTTTGATCATATTCTACTATAAAATTATAGTAAAATATTCACGACAGATGAGAAATGTTGCGCCTACTTTAAAAAGAAGAAGAAAAAGAAATAGTTTCGTGGCAAGTAAATTTTGATATTCAAGATCCTAGAAAAATTTCTTCCCATCATGAATCCTTGAGCTTTACACAGAGACTCATGGCAAATCGTAAATTCTCCTCGTGGCTGCTGCACCTTTTATATGTGTGTCCTATTTTCTTATTTCATAGGTATATACTATATATATATATATATAGAGCCGTCAATTTATATTCTTTTTCCATATATGTATATATAATTTAATATATTTATCGATTACAATTTCCTCTTGGCGTGATTAATGCTGCACTCTAAATAAGTACACTGTATATATATATAATTACCTAGGAAAAATGTTTCCACATTATTTTCATGACCTAAACCTACTTGTTAACTGTGATTTTATCCTGACTTACGTATATAAATAAAAAGTTTATTTTTAATAACGTTTTCTTTTTTTTTTTTTTTTTCTTTTTTTTTAATATTTTACATTGAAAAATAAAATAGTAAAAATTTTATTTATTTTTTTTTCTCTGAAAAAAATTTGAATCAGTGAAAATTTTCAATTTTTATTACATCAAAAAAATTTTAATGAGTCGAATTTTTAATATTTTTTTTTTTCGATAAAAAATTTTATTATTAATTATTTCTTTAAAAAAAAAAAATTGATATTTCTCTAAGTAAAAAAATTTTTTTTTGGGTAAAAGTCTGAGCTAATTTTATAATGAAACGAAAAAATTAATTTTTTTGTGAAATTTGATATTTATTTAAATGATCAAAAAATTGTTATAAATGAAAGTCTGAGCTAATATTAATGAAATGAAAAAAATTATTAAACCAATTTTTCATATTAAAGAGTTTTTTTTTTTTTTTTTTTTTTTACATAATTTTGAAAATTTATTAAACAGAATTTCTACTTGTCGGATTTTTGTTTGACAAAATTTTTCAAGTACTGAATTTCTATTTGACTGAATTTGTATTTAATCAAAATTTTTGCTTAGCAGAATTTTTAATATATTGATTTTCTATTTGACTGAATTTTTATTGAATCAAATTTTTGTTTAACCGAAATTGAATCGTAAATTTTGAAAAGGGCTCAACTCTGAAAACTGTAAGTGTCATTTTCGCTATTGTTAGTTATGCGAAAATCACACTTACGTTTTTTCGAGTTGAGCCCTTTTCGAAATTCACGATTCAATTCTATTTGACCAAAATTTTATTTAATCAAATTTTTGTTACACAACAATTTTTCAGTACTAAAATTTCCAGTTTGACCGAATTTCTAATTTATCAAAAAATTTTTAGTTACCGAATTTCTATTTAAACGAATTTTTAGATACCAAAAAAAAAAAAAAATGAAAATTCGAACAAATAAAAAATTTTTTTTTTTTGACAAATAAAAATTTCGAAAAAATATAGAAATTCTTTTAAAATTAATTTACAGTTACAAATTTTTTTTAATAAAAAAAAAATAATAAATTCACGTGGAATCGATCATATATATATATATATATATATATATATATATATATATATTGCAAAAATTGGAAATTCTTGATATTATAAAATTAATTCTAAATAAAGTTACAGTTACAATTGTATGATATTGATTTTTTTTTTACAATGGAAATCGAAGGGCACTTAATTTATTCAGTACGTCAATGTCGAGCATATTTTTTTCTCTCTCTCTTGCAAATATATATATAAAAATACATATATGACGTTTACTTCCTATTTATGATATTGGCAATATTTTTTTTTTCTTTTTTTATTATTACAAATTCAATTATTTGA